ATATCAACAGAAACTTTTTGCATTTGGAAAATTGTCTTATGATCCCTTTCATTACGCATAGATGTTAAAACAACATAGAATTTATCAAGAAAGTCTTCTAACGAGCTGTTGCAGTCAATAACTTCTTTTAACTTTCCATTGAAAATTTCTAGACGGTTATTGGTGCTATTCATGAGGTTACCACTGACAAATTTCAAACCGAAAACCTACTCATCACAAATATTATTCCAATTGTTGTTATAATAGTCTATAACAGTGGAAGGAGCTGATGAAACAAATAGTCTATACAACTCGTCATAATTTTCCTCTGAGGTTGCATAAGCTAATTTCTGAATAAATTCTAGAGATGAAATTCGTTCCCCACTAGTAATCCCAAATTTGACAGTTGTAATTTCACGACTAAAAGTTCTGAAATAAAAGATAATGTTGGCTAATCAGAAAACTCATAATACGTAAGAATCTTTAGATAATCAAACAAATTTAAAAAAAAAAACCTAACTCAAATCTGAACAAGAAAATATTCCTTAATCAAATAATTTATCACATACAAACAATGATTATTACCGCAGGGTATGAAATAAAAAGAGTAATAGAAAAACCCATCGAAAAGCACCACGTAATACGTCTCTCTCTCTGTCAATTCTTTATCTGTCATGAAAACATTTGTCTTTGGCCAAGAAATATTATAACTCTTAAATCTTTCAATGAACCAACTAAAAATTATGTACAAAAGATTTCATAACTTTTAAACAATCTTTTTTCAATGTATGTTTTTCATTTTTTTATGTAAGAATTTTGTGTGTGTGTGTGTGTGTGTGTGTGTGTGTGTGTGTATGTGTGTGTGTGTGTGTGACTCAAAGACGCCTAATACTGTCAGATTGTTTTATTTAATATTAGTTTTATTTGCTATAAAGTAAATACATCAAAGCCAGATATAGTTAATAAATCATTCCTCAGAGATGCAGCATCTTCACGTGTAAGCAAACCTACAGCGGCTATTTCACTTTAACCTATGAAAAATACTTCTAGTAACAAGCAAGTTTCAAAAATAAAACAAATTCATAATTAGTGTCTAAAGTTGTATAAAGAAGCAATCCAAACTTACGTGCTTCATCTTTGCATAGCAGAATATATACTAGCAGACGAATTTCTAACAATTTGTCAGTTGCATCCATGCATAAAAATTTAGGATTTGCATTGAAAGCGCTATGCATCGAAATATCTTGGAAAAAAAGCCCTTGTAAATTATCTTCTGCATCTGTTAAAACATCTAAATTAGCATCTAAATCGCATATATATATATATATATATATATATATATATATATATATATATATATATATATATATATATATATATATATATATATATATATATATATATATATATATATATATATACATATATATATATATATATATATATATATATATATATATATATATATATATATATATATATATATATATATATATATATATATAAATTTGAAAAAAGAGGATGCATTATACGTAACAATATGAAAATCAAAAAGTGAAAATAATGATAATTACAATTCTTTACAAAAAAAACTTTTGTTTTATGACTTTTTAACTGTATTTTTCTTTTTAAGTCTGAACAAAACTTGTTAAACTATTTCGTGTATCACTTTTGTGTGCAGAAGCAGCAATATTTGATAAGTCACGAAGAGTTATCATTTTTCCAGTCCTTTGACAATTCACGTTGAAGTAGCTTTTTGTTAGCTTTTAAGCGTAACAATTTTTCTGCTTTTGCAACAGCATAATTAGGAAGTTTTCTTTGATTTGGTAAGTGCTTATACAAAATCTATTTTTAAAAGCAATTGTTTTATTCATTATAGTCAAGAAAACATATCCAACATATAACCTAATATGGTTTCTAACCACAATACCTTTCTAGAAAATATCAGTCACAAAAATTTTTAAATTAGATTTCAAGATATTTCAAGAACCTAATTCACATATTTAAAAACATTTTATCATAAATGTTATAAGTAATTATAACTTACTTCAGATGCTTCATGATTATGTTCATTGTTTAAATCTTGCAAAATTAATGTTTGCCCATCTTCTGATACTTTAAAACTTAAGAAGAATTTCACTTTTTCTTATAAGTCCTATAATAAACATGTTCAAAATCGGTTATTTTTTCATGAAACAAATATGCTATCCTTTGATAAAATAAGGCATTTAAATTAGAACATTGTTTATTTACTATGCATAAATAAGTTATCAATATATTTTTTAAACCTTAATTTTTAATTAATAATGATAAAGGTATAAGATAAAAAAAGTACTAACGAAGTTTGACGTTTTCCATTGCCTTTATTTGTAAATTTTTTTTCACCATGTATACAGCAATACTTTATATACAGTGAACTCCCGATATCTCGAACCTCCAAGGGACCGAGAAAATAGTTTGAGTTAGCGAATGTTCGAGTTATTGGGACATTTTATAACACGAACTTTGGCCGATAAGTAAAAACAATTCTAGTTATTAAAAGTTTTGATCTCAAAAGTAAAAATAATACATTATAAATTAAAAAATGTTCTAATGTCACTCTGATTTAGTTTTGAAAATACGTCTCTATCAAATATAATCGAGACAGCATTGAGCGTTTTTTGGATCTCTTCACCCATAAGACTGAAGGGCATATAGTCATACAACACTTGCAGTGCCTCCCGAATATTACTAACTTTTGGGCAAACTAGATTGATTGCATTATTATCATCATTATCTTCCCCGTCATTATCATCATGTTCATTGGCTGCATTTTTAACTTCTTCTACCAACTGTTCATCTGTAAGTAAAGGTTCTGTGCTAACTAAGCTTTCATCTGCAAAAACAACATCTTCAGCTGTTGTACCTGGAGGGTAAAAAATATCAAGTTTTTCCATCTGATTTAAAATCTGCATATTCGGATGAAGACAACGACCTCTTTAAAGAGGTCGTTGTCTTCATCCGAATATGCAGATTTCTGCTGATCTTCAGAAATTCCTTCTTTTGCAAAACAATTAATGATGGTGGAGGTTTTCACTTTTTTCCATGCAAGATCAAGCATATTCATTGCATCTAAAATTGAGATAACAGGAAGATCTTTTTTTTTATCAAAAGCTACGACCAGCCTATACAATGCCAAAGATATGTAATAAACTTTCAAAGAGCGTATAACTCACAGATTCATTGGTTGAAGTTTAGATATTTAAAATTTGAAGTTTAGATCTTTAAAATTTGAAGTTTAGATCTTTAAAATTTTTTGATTAAAAAAATGGCTCAATAGATTTTATCAATAGATTATCAACCGTCAGGTGTGCTTGGCAGCTATCTATTATGAACGCTACTTTCTTCTTTTCTTTTGTAAACTTTGTATCCACTTCTCGTATACACTCTTCAAACAGTACGCTATCCATCCAGCTTTTATTTTGATTTCTGTATCTGCAAGTTAAGTGCTTAATTCCTTTGAAGCAGCAAGGTGATTTTGATTTTCCTATAACAAACATATAAATTTTATCACCCGCTGCACGTGCTGCGACCATTTCTGTAAGACGAATTTTACCGTGCTTTTCCCCTATACATATCTCAGATTGAAGATTAAGTGACTTATGAGGTTGCATACGAAAAACAATCCAAGTTCATCTGCATTATAAATTTCATCAGTTTTCAGCAAGTTCTCTGACTTTTATTTTAAGAATTGTTGCTGCTCCTTATATTTAAAAGCCATTTAAAAACAAGATTATCTAAATTTGAAAATGTTCCTACTTTAATTCTCATACGTTTAGACTTGTTTCCTCGCGTCTTCATACATCCAAAAAAATTTAGCAATAATAAAATGTAAGTACAACAAATTTTATTATAATATTGATATTGATTATTGCAACACACGTAAGCAGGGCCGTACCAAGGGCGGGGCCAGCCGGGCCGCGGCCTGAGGCGCCAAAATTGGGAGGGCGCAAAGTTCCTCAAATTAATTTATTTATTTTTACATTATGAAACTAATTTGCGTGGCGTCACCTTTATGTTGATAAGAAAATTAATTAAAATTGCGCCTCCTGACGAACTTTAAAATAAAAGCTCATTTACCAAACAGAAGAGCGCCCTTAAACACTAAAAAGTTGTATTTTCTGAACATTATTTTTTACAATGAATCGTGCAAAAAAATTATCTGGTTCTGAATTTAAGAAGAAAAGAAGAGACCGCCTTAAAAGTGACGCAAAACTAAGAAATTGTTTCAAGAAGTGGTTGGTAACAAACTCTTCTGTGGAAAAACAAATTATTTCAGAGGATATTTGCAATGAAGTTGATAATGATTCAACAGCTGAAGTTGCTGCTACATCTTTAATTACTGACTTAAATTCATATCATCCATTGGAATTAATTGAAGAGGAGATTTTGATTGGCCAAAGTCAAAACGAATTTGGACCAAATGATTCAGAAGCACAAGAAGATAGAAATTCTCAGCTTTCCAAACCAATTAAAATGGGCAACAGTGAATTTCCTCCTGAAATCTCAGAAATTTGAACAACCTCAGGAGAAAACTTTCAACACAGTGATCCAGCTACATGGCCTAAAATGACAGATAAAACAAGGTGTTTTTTGATTCAGCATGGGCCGGAGCAAAAAAAAAGAGAATTTTTCCTAAATACACTTTGTGACTTTGACAACAGAATGCGACACTTCAGCTCAAAATGATATGAAAAAATTCATACCAATGGTGAAAAATTTGTTCGCTACTGTCTGCTGTACAGCAACAAAAAAGATTCTTTGTTTTGTTTTTGCTGTCTGCTATTTTCAACGACAAAAAACAAAAATTTTTCAGAAATTTCAAAAGGATTTTGTGACTGGAAAAAACTAAACCCAAGAATTCCAGAACACGAAAACAGCAATGAACACCAAGATGCTGTTCTGATTGGAAAAATCTGGAAAAAAATCTCAAGGAAGGAAAGACCTTGGATTCCAATCTGCAGAGAGTTATCAACGGAGAGATGAAAAAGTGGAAAGATATCTTGAAAGTGATTGTTGATGCAATTTTGTTCTGTGCCAAGAACAATCTTGCCCTTCGGGGTTCAACAGAAGTAATTGGAGAGCAAAACAGTGGCATCTTTTTGAACTTAATTGAGCTGATAAGCCATTATTATCCTTTAGTGGCTGAACACGTTGCATCCGTTAAGGCAAAGAAAACCACAACATCCTACTTTTCTCCTCAAATTCAAAATGAGCTGATTGAATTACTTGGGCAGAAAGTCAGGAATGAAATTTTGTCAAATGTCAGAGAAGCTAAATACTACTCTGTTTTGTTTGACTGCACTCCAGATGCCTCCCACAAAGAGCAGATGACCCAAATAATCACGTATGTCCACATCACTGAGGAAACCTGTACAATTGAGGAAAGCTTTGTGAACTTCATTGAATCTCACGAAAAAACTGGAAAGAGCCTTGCAGCTGAAATCACCGAAAAACTGGAAAAGGATGGCCTGAGCATTTCTGATTGTCGGGGCCAAGGTTACGACAATGGAGCCAATATGTCTGGAAAATATAATGGCGTCCAAGCTCACATCCATTCTCTAAATGAGTTTGCAAGATTTGTTCTATGTGCAGCTCACACTTTACACCTTGTTGGTGTCCATGCTGCTGAAGTTTCTCCACTCATGATTACATTCTTTGGAAAAGTTCAAGCCATCTTTAACTTTTTCTCAAGTTCTACCTTAAGATGGGAAAAACTGATGAAAACATTGACCATCTCACTCAAGGGAAATAGTGATACAAGATGGTCTGCCAAAAAAGAAGCAATCACCCCACTACACAGACAAATCAAAGAAGTTCTTCAAGTTTTGGAATCCATAATTCACACTCCCAAGACAAATACTGTCTCAGTTTGCAGTGCAAAAGAGCTCATCATTCAAATTGATTTCAGTTTTCTGTGTTTGTTGGATTTTTAGTGTTAAATTCTTTCTTTAATTGACCGGGAAAACAAACTGCTTCAGTATAAAAACATTTCAATTGACATTGCAGCAAAAAAAATGAAAGGACTGAAGGCTTCCATTCAAAATCTGAGAGATGTTGGGGTGGACAACATTATCAAAGCTGCTGCAGAAACAGCTATCCAAATTGGAATTGAAGGAGACTTTCCTATAAAAAAAAAGCGCAAAGTGAAGCAGATGGCACTTTATGAAGCTGAAGATGACTTTTGCCGTTTGTCACCAGAAACAGATTTCGGATCCCAGTGCAACCTTGTGTTTGACAGCATTCTCACACTAATTGAGTGGCGGTTTGAAGCTATGTCTGCAGTATCCTTAGAATTTGACTTCCTCAGTTGACATTATCTCTCCAAAAGTTCAGTGGATAAACTTAAGACTAAAGCCAAAAATTTGTCTAAAATTTACAAGGCAGATTTAGATTCTTCAGATTTCCAGTCAGAAATGGCAAACTTTAAATATCAAGCTGCTGCCATTATGAAAAACTTTGAAAAATCTAGCCCGATGGACATTTTGCAGCTCATTCATAAATACTCATTGACTGATGCTTATCCTAACACGGCAATTGCTATTCGCATCTTCCTCACCTTACCAGTTACAGTTGCCATGTGTGAAAGAAGTTTCAGTAAACTTAAGATCATAAAAAACTATTTGAGATCAACTATGGGCCAAGAACGTTTGTCTTGTCTGGCAGTAGTTTCAAATGAACATGAAGTGGCCAACGAACTTGATTTTGATGATGTCATTAGTGACTTTGCCTCCAAAAAAGCCAGAAAAGTGACCTTGAACTGAAGTTTGTGAAACATTAATGACAAATTGTTCTTTTAACTTGATGCGATAAATTTTGTGATCAATAATTAATTTTTTTTCATGTAAATATATATATATATATATATATATATATATATATATATATATATATGTAATGTGTTTTTTGTATATTTTTTTGGGAGGGGGGCGCAATTTTATTTGCTTGCCCGAAGCGCAAAGTTGGCCTGGTACGGCCCTGGCCATAAGCTGGTACCTGGTACGGCCCTGCACATGCACCCCCTATTTTTATTTTTGATTATAGTAGAAAATTTTATGCTGATTAAGAATCGTATAAAAACATAGCTCTGAAAATTGAAGCAAAGTACTCTAATTTGATCTTGAAGTTAAAAAAATTACATTAAAAACGGTATTATTCACCATCTTTTTTGTACTCTGTTATGATTAAAATTAAACTTTGAAAACAACATAAACAACCTGGTTTTTATTGTCAACAAAAAATGAAACTGTTTTATAGTAGCTACTGATTTAGAGATTATCTCTAAATCAGAAAACAACATAAACAACCTGGTTTTTATTGTCAACAAAAAATGAAACTGTTTTATAGTAGCTACTGATTTAGAGATTATCTCTAAATCAGTAGCTACTGATTTAGAGATTATCTCTAAATCAGTAGCTACTATAAAACAGTTTCATTTTTTTGTTGACAATAAAAACCAGGTTGTTTATGTTGTTTTCAAAGTTTAATTTTAATCATGAAGCCCTTTAATTTTAATCATGAAGCCCTTAATAGGCAAGGGCTTCAAGGAAGAATAATGATATAAATTGATACCTGCCCCAACCCTGACCCTTCGATGTGTTTTCAACTCTCTTGCAAGTTCTCCCTAAATCAGTCCATGTATGTACTGAAGCCCTCGCCTATCCCTAAATCAGTATTTAAGGGCAAGAGGGCAAAAGTTAACAAACAAAATTTTTAAAAGTTTAATTAATTTTTTAAATACAAAGAATAATTTATGTAAAAAAAAAGTTTATTTTTGATTATAATTAATAATTGTATTTTTTTCAAACTAAGTAATTTTAGTATCGATGAAAATAAAAACCGGTCTGCGTAATTAAAGATAAAATTTATTAAAAAATGTAAATTCCATTTAAAACAGCTAGCGAATATTAACGTTTTTTGTGTAATATTTTAAACTTCAAGATTTAATTAGAGTACTTTGCTTTAGTTTTTAGAGCTATGTTTTTATACGATTCTTAATCATTATACGATTCTTAATCAGTTCTCATAATCAAAAATAAAAATAGGGGGTAGAGATGTAAATTAACGCCAGTTTTGTATGTAATTTAATTTTTTTTATTTGATGGTTCTAAATGGCAACACAGAAAACATTATTCTAAAGTTTTTTTTTAATATTTGTGATGCAAGTTATACATACATACATATATATATATATATATATATATATATATATATATATATATATATATATATATATATATATATATATATATATATATATATATATATATATATATATATATATATATATATATATATATATATATATATATTTCTAATTTTCAAAATTATTAGATACAAAGTATAATTAAATTTAAAATGGTTGCTGGAATAAGATGGAAAAATGATTCTTGTCTATGTCAATATTTGGAATCTGGAAAAGAGTTGCCAACACAGAGACATGTCCTAAGATATGGTATTTATTAAAGAGAAACAAGCAAACTAAACAGAACAAACTATAATAATTCTGTTTTGATTCAGGATATTTATAATAAACTTTCAGAAAAATGGCAAATGGCCAGTGTTTTATTTGTGCCTCTCGTAATTAGTTTAAAACACAATTTGGTAACAAGGCTTAAAGCTGCATGGAACAAAGCTAACCTGATTTCTCAAAATAGAGCAAGTAAATTTATAAAACAAAAGTTTAATTTAATTATTGACAAACTATTTGATTTGGTGGAGTGTAACTGTAAAATATCTCTTTGTTCTGAGCAATGCTGTTCTCCTGACTGTAAAGTTGGTGCCCACATTACCTGCATATGTCCTAGGGAGGGAAAAATACCAATAAATCAACTGGTTTATATAAAAGGTATGAGTGAATATATGAAAGTCACTATAAAAGTGTTAGTAAAGCAGAAAACCAAATTTTATTATACTATACTGATTTCTTTGATTGTTTTAAAAAGAAAATTTTATTTTAATTTGTCTGGTTGTAAGCAAATTGTTGTCACATTTTTTTTAGCCCAATGAGAAAAGATTGGATCTTTAAGTTCATATCATCTTGGGCCTGCTGATTTGATGGAGTCCAAAAAGTTCAAAAAAGTACAAAGTTGCAAACGAAGAAGAGAGGAAGAAAAACAAACGAGAGAAAAAAAACACACTTATCAAAAAGAAAATAATACGCAATATAAACAAGATAACAAACATGAAAATTATTAAGAGAAATCAATTGAAAATGAGATTTTTTTTATTCAAAAGCCTTGTACAAAATATTTAAAAAAATCTAGAGTTTATGAAGATATCTCTAATATTGCATTGGCCAGTATTCGATATGGTGTTGTTTTAAGAGCAACTGCAGCCATAACTACTGCAGCATGGGTAGATGGAGGACTTGTATCCCATAGTGACACTAGATTATTAATAGATCACAATAAAGTTCGGAGAGCTAGGGATAAAGTCATGAATAAAGTTGCTGTTCAGTTTAATGATTATTGTGATAAAGTGATTATTAACTGCATAATTTTTGATGGGCGAAAAGATCTTACTAAAGTATTTTTAACTGTAGATGGATCAGACAGACAGGATCCGGCTAAAGTTAAAGAAGAAAATTACACTGTTTGTTCTGGTGATGGTAAGCATTTATTTCATTTCACTCCAGCTAAAGAAGCAAAAAAGAACCATGCTGAAATTATAGCAGATAAGATTATTGAGTATACTGCAATGAGAAACATTAGTACACACTTAAGAGCAATTATAGGAGACTCTACAAATGTAAACACTGGTTGGGAGGGAGGAGTAATGCACTTTATGGAGCTGAAATTAGGGTAAAAGTTAAATTGGATTGTCTGCGCTCTACATACCAATAAATTACCACTCAAACGTTTAATTAAATTGTTAGACGGAAAATCTAAAAGCGGTACAAAATGGAGTAGACCCATTGGAAGCTTACTTGATGAAGCAACCAATCTTGAAATTAACCCTTTTTTTAGTAAAGTAGAAACTGGTGAGCCTCTAATTAAGTTGAGTAATGATATGGTTAAAGACCTTTCAACAGATCAGTATTATGGCTATCAAATAGTTAAAGCTATACGCAAGGTCATGTTCCTCAGCAACTAGGACTTCTGGAAATTGGCCCTGTGAACATGGCCAGATGGTTAACATGGCCAGATGGCTAAACCTTTATAAACTAGTCGAGTTTATTGTATGAGTGTACTTTCCTGTCTGGTTTAACATCAAAGTTAAATATAGTTGGACAGAAGGACCAAAACATGTTCTTTACCAGCTTAAGTTGCTTCAACACCAGTCACTCGATATTCAAAATATGGTCATTCCAGCTATTAAGCGATCTGCTTGGTATGCCTTCTCTGAATCTATTCTTCAAACTATGCTTTGTTCTGAAAATAAAGAGGAGAGAGATTTCAGTGTAAACAAAATTCTTGAAATAAGAGGAGAAGGTGATGAAAATGTACAACTTGGAGATCTATCTGTTAGACCAAGAAGGACACCAAATATCAATACTAAAGCAATTTGCCTCAAGGACCTTATTGATTGGAATAAAACTTTCGAACCACCTTTAACTTGTTGCATGACAACTAAAGACATCAAAGAGTATTTTTTTAAAGTAAAAATTGTACCAAACTGGTGTTGCCACACTCAAGCTGTCGAAAGATGTGTAAAAAAAGTTACCCAGGCTTGCGAAGATGTTTTTACAGAAGATAGAAGAGATGGTTGGGTTAAAGGACAAATGTTGTCACAGAAGTTGTTGTCACGAAATCTATCTAAACAAAACCTTATTGGCTTGACAATGTTTAAGAATTAATCTTTATTGTACTTTATTTTAATGTGCCAGTAGATGTTTTGTGGATCTATATGAAAGTTTTATTTTTAATTCCAAAACAACCTAATTTTACAGTTTTAGTGGGAGGTAGTGGGAGGGGGGCAAACCACTCTAGATGTTTTTATACAAATAATTTTATTTTTTTAAATAGAGATGACGTTTTTTTGCGTTTTGTAAGATTTTTAAAAAAATTCTTTAACTTTTCAAGTTCATATCTCCCCCTCCCCTAGGATTTTTGGTAAAATAGTGTCTCTGGTTCCCTGGTAGCTAAAACTTTTTTTTTTTTTTTTTGTTGACGGTTCTGAACTTGTAATATTATACCTCACCCTTTTTTAAATTATGCGAGTCAAAATTCAAAAAAAAAAAATGACACACCCTAATAGGAAACTCAAAAGTATTTCGAATTACTGGAAGTTCGAGTTATCCGGGGTTCGAGATATCGGGATTTCTCTGTAGTAATACTTTATAGGTGGAGCTATTATAGCAGCTTTTCTTGGAATAGTTTTTCTAGCAGCTTCAATTGTTTTGGCGTCACGAATCCTCAATTGCACAAAATGAGAATCTTCATATTTCTTAATGTTTCTTCATATTTCTCAAGTTAATTTTAAGTCTTCAAATGATAAAAAAGAATCTTTGCATGCAAAACTAGTTGACATCTATTAAGTATGAACGAAATCAAATTTTTCAAATATATATATATAGTTCAAATATTTTTTCAATAATTGCAATTTAAAATATATGAAATCGGAATTTTTTTTGACAAGTGACATTTTCAACCAATAAACAGGCTTCCGGCACTTTAAGCAAATTTCTATCCAGGGCCAACAAGAATAGCTTAAGAACAAAAAAATAAAACGTATAGTATAACAGATAAATATAACGGATGAATATAACGGATAGACTTCACCATTTGTACGGAATTGATCAAACATACACAAATTATGACGCACAAAAAAATATATAACGCTAATATAACTGATAGTGTTAACTTTTTTCAAAATCATCAGTTATATTGGCGTTAGTTTTTTTAGAGTTTATCATAATTCCAATACCAGTTCTTTAAATACATTAAAATTTGTAATGCCTGCCTTTATTTCGCTTTATTTACTGATAATGTGATTTAACCTATGAATCATAGGCCGCCAAGTTATAAAGTATGTGGTCAGGTTTTTGATTGTGTAGATAATCTTATAAGATTATCTACAATCTTATAAGATAATCTTATAAGATTATCTACAATCTTGATCTGGCCTATAGGCCAGATCAAGATATTTCCCCTACATTATCAACTGTATATCTCTGACCCATTTGCAGCAGAAAATTTAAGCTAGCTTAATTTAGTATTTTATTTGCAAACTATAGTTAATGAAGTTGTAATTGTATTCGTTGGAGATGCTTCACCTGCTTCCAGGGAAGTTATTTACCCCAAAAAGTTATTTAAAAGTTATATTAAGTATGTCAGCTAACTTAAATCTTATGGTTTATTCACTTTTTTCCCCAAAAAATGGCATAAATGGTGCGCAACCATGAACATATAACATTATTTAGAAATCATGTTAAATTATCTCAGTTTTACAGTAACACAAAATTATCTTAGTTTTATAGTAAGACGAAATTTCTGTTCAATAATTTATGGTAAGAAACTATTTCACCAATATGCTGCTGGTGTATAAGTTAAGATTGAAGAGCAGTGTCTTGTATTCATAAAATTAACCAAAGCAAACTGAGAAACATGCAGTATGATGCTTTACATGAAGATGTAAGCAACCTTGGTAACTATTATAACGTTAGACCAGGGTGCGTTAAAGTGTTTTGATTAATTAGGAGGTCTTTAAAATAACTTAGAAAATGCTATGGCAATATTTAAAAATTAAAAATTAAACGTAATTAAAAGATATTGTAAACCAAATTGTTTTATTACTTTTGCCTGCAACCCAATGTAGTGAAGTGTGGTAAAAAAAAAATTATTTTCAAATGTTTTTAATTAATAGTTTATGATAAGTATGCTTTCATGTGTAATAAAGTAAATGTTAATAGTTTATAAAATATAATATGTTCATAGGTTATATATGTTTATATTCTGTTTTCTTTTTTATGTTTTAAGAGCGGTGTTACTTAGCAGTGTGTAAAGCAAGACTGTTATCTTTGACAGTCAAGAGATGTTACTTAGTTGTGGTACTACTTGGCACCATTAAGTGTCGGGTGGTCTTAATTTCTGTTAATTATTTTTTAATCAAGACACTTTTAAACTAAGACTAAGTATCAATCTTACTATAATTATCAAAGTATATATACTAGAAATTTTTTATTTCAAAGTTACTAATTATAATTTCTTGGACCCATCAGATAAGTACATATATTTATATATTAATTAAAATTTAACCTTATTATTATACTCCTTTCTGTTTAAAGAAAGTTTATTAATAAAGGGGAGAATTATTCTAACACTCTGTTGTTACTAAACTTTTATGTATCTAATTGATAATGACCATGTATAGGAAATGTTTTACGAGTCATTAATTCATTAACACAATAATAAATACGTTAAATATTGCTCCCCTTTGTTAATAAACTTATTTTTCTAGAGCACAATAATAAATATGTAAAATTAATAACTTGAGTTACGTGGTCTTTACCAAATGCAAAGACAAATAAAAGCGTGCAAAATCAAAAAGATCATACTATACAGATAAGGCTGTCATTGACCCGATTTTTAAGGATGAGAGCGCAATGCTAAACTAATTAAGATTTTTATAGCGTTCTTCAGCGGAAAAACCGAAGCAATGGATATATGAATTTGTATTTAATATTTTTCAGATTATATATCAAGTTGAATTGTTATTAGCTATTTATTTATTATTAACCCTTGTGCAACCGTGGCGCAGTGGTTAGAGTGCTTGCTTAACAAGCAGGAGATCCAGGTTCGAAACGAGCTTTGGACATATTTCGTGTCACGGTAAGGAGGGAAACGTGAACTTCCTGGTTAAATGCACTTCCGCGGTGCTCTTTGATAAGATCGTTAGGACTTCTTGGGGCACCTAAATAACGAATAAAAAAAAAATTAAAAAAATAAAAAAAACCGTATTACGGTTCTTTTTATTTTTTTAATAAAAACTGCTCGTTTAAATGAATCACAAAAATCTATCTTCTTTTGTGAGTGTATTTTTTTCATATTGAAATGTTTCTTTTTGTGTTTAAAATAAAAATTTTAGTAATTAATCTAACTATGAAATAACTTGTACAGAATAAGTTATAAAGAACGCATATTATGACTTAGAATTTACAAATAACTGATAGCTTAATTAAATTTTTTCTACTGCTTGGTTTGGGGGCAAACCCAGTATTTTTTGGTCTTTAAGATAGCTAACTTCCAGACATAAAGAAAATTCTTTGAGGAGGTAACAAATTGTATATGATCAAAATTTTTGAACGCTGAGAGATTATACTATAACACTTAAAATTTATCGATGAATGCAAGTCTAGTTGAGAATACTAAAAAAAATATTTTATCAACTTGTTGCTCTCACGTTTTTTATAAAGAAGGAAAATGTAAGGGCTTTTTTGTTTCTAGGCTCCAATTATCGAAATTTTTTGCAAAACATCATTTTATATAAGTATAAACATATAAATGTTTGAAGTGTGCATCATGTCTAGGTCTTAGCAGTCTCAAAGACTAAAAAATGCTGGCACCGCCCCTGGCATGGGACCTAAGCCATTTTTAAAATTTTTCCAGATTATCTTTAATTTTTCAAAATCTTATTGCCCTTGCGTAAAATAACTTTCCAATTTTTTTTAATAACTAAACAACGGGTAATATTAATTTGAGTTTTAATTTAATTCATTTAATTTGTTTTAATTTAATTCATTTAGTTCATTTAATTTGTACTAGGAGTCCTGTTAAGAGGACTGGTAGAAGTCCTGCTAGGAACACTGCTAGGAGTCCTGCTAAGAGGACTGCTAGGAGTCATGCTAAAAGAACTGCTAGGAGTCCTGCTAAGAGGACGGCTAGGATTCCTTTAGTATTTATTACTTAATGATTACTAATCAAATTTAGAAAATAAAAAAAAATAAATGTTGGAAAAATTTGGCTCAAGAATTTTTAAAATACTACGTTTTCATGGCAAAGATTTGAGTTCTTTTTTGAAAAAATCCAACATTTTCTTTGTAAATAGTCTTTTAAATAACAAATTGTTAAAGCAGCACGTCTCTTTTTTATTTTTTTTGTGACAACAATGGATCTCATATTACCATCCGATTGATTTGATTTTACCTCCACCAATGCATAAAAAAACATGATGTTCAAAGAAACAAATTAATTATTTATTAACAAGATACTCTAAAATGTATGAATAAAGCATATACTGAGATTAAACAAGGTCTTGGTGAGACTAAGACAGATATTACAGTTTCATGTGATGGTACTTGTCAAAAGCGAGAATTTTCTTTTTTAAATGGTGCCTTAACTATAGTTTCTAGTTATACAGGAAAATGTAATGACTAATGCATCAAACCTAAAGTATGCTACCAATGTAATCAATGGGGAACAAAAAAAGGCGCAGACGAATACAATGAGTTTCTAAATACACACACATGTAGCATTACCCATAATGGCTCATTAGGCACAACGAAGGCAGATGAAGTTGTTGAATGTATATTATCAGAGTCAAACAGAAACTTACATTATGCTTATTATATTGGTGACGGTGAATCAAAATTTTATCTGGAAGTTGTTAAAAGTAATTTATACCGAAATATTGCTGTCCAAAGGTGTTGGGCACATATAAAAAAAATGTTGGGTACATATAAAAAAAAGTTGATGGCAGACTTTGGAAATATAAAACCACCTACAAATTGGAGTTGTCTGAGGAAAAACGGCTTTGTGGAAAAAATAGTCTTACCGAAAAAGACATTAAGAAAATTCAAAATTATTTTGGAATTTCAATTCTTTAATGTTTACCGTTTACCAATTAAAAAGAGCAATTTGAACAGAACTCCGCCAATGCTCAGATGCACTTACATTAGATAGTCGCA